GTGTTTTAGTAGGGAAGGGTGCCTTAGACTAGAGGTTGTCTTCAACCTTACAAGCACAGCTTCTGCCTCATCCGATAATCCTGAGCAAGTTGGTTAACCTTTTTGTACTTGAGTTTCCTCATCTGTTAAATGAGGATAATAATACCTACCTTGATTTAACTTACAAGGCAGGGTGTAAACTGTAATTCACTGTAAGCTACATAGAAAATGGTGTTCATAATATGATATTATTTATATTCAACTACATGATTATCATTGCTTTTTTGGCTTAAACCCCTTTCTTGAGGTAGGACTGACTACAAAAAAATATACAAACCTTTTATTTCTTTTATTATTTCTTCAAGGGTTTTTTTTTTTTCTTTTTTCTTTTTTAGTAATCTCTACACCCAACATGGGGCTCAAACTCACACCCTGAGATCAAGAGTAGCATGCTCTTCTGGCTGAGGCAGCCAGGACCCCTGCTGCACCCATTTAATGTACACGAACTAATGAATATGGAGATAAGTACACATCTGTGAAACCATCATCACTTCCTATGCCATGAACATACCCATCGTCTTCAAAAGTTTTCTACTACCAACTTTATTTTTACTTTTTTGTGAAGGACACTTAATACCCACATCCTTAGCAAAATTTTATACAGTACAGTACCGTTAAATATAGGCATGATGCTATACAGTAGATGTCTAAGACTATTTACAGGGCATAGCTGAAGCTTTGTACCCTTTGACTAACAGCTCTCATTTCCCTCTCCCCACCCCCAACCCCTAGCAACCATTACTCCACTTTCTGCTTCTAGGAGTTTGACTAAATACCTCATAAAATAGTATCATGCAGCATTTTTCCTTCTGTGTCTGGCTTATTTCAGTTACCATAATGTTCTCCAGTTTTATCCATGTTGTTGCAAATAGCAAGATTTCCTTCCTTTTTTTTTTTTTTTTTTTTTTTTAGGACAGAATAATATTCCATTGTATATGTATGTTTTTTTTTAACATAAATTCAGTGGAAACATTAGCTCAGTACTTTAAAAAATAACATCTCTTACTTAATAAGGAAAGAAAAAAGAAGAAACAGAAGAAAAAATTGCCTACCAAAACACACTGCAAGGAAAGATAAATTATTCAACAAACATTTCCTAATTGCCTAATATGTGCTAAGCTGGGATAGGGGGAGGGGATTACAAGAATGAATAACACACAGTTACCATTCTCACGTACTTCATTCTGGCAGATGACACATGTCAATCCCACAGACAGAATCATACACCATTGTTCCTAGAACCTAAAGAGTCAAAGTGTCTCTACCAAGGCAGTAAATGACAGTCATGTTTGGCCATCAAATATCAGCTGACCAGGGTATAGGATCTCCGCCTCAGAGCAATTCTAGTGGGCCAGTATCAAGATAACCTACAGCACTTTTACATAGCCTCAAGTGAATTTAGGGGATAAATTGGTTGGGGAATGCCCCATTCATGAGGGGTTCCCCTGGTAAGCATAAGGGGGAATCCCCTTAAATATGGTAGAACCCCCAACTGCAAATATAGGGGCTAAGGGGAGAACAGATCCCTGCTTGCTAGCAGGAGACTGGAAGGGGTGGGGGAATTCTTAAAAACTCCATTTACACAACAGGAGATCCCCTGTTACTCAAAGTTCCCTCGTAGGGCTGTTTTTGAGACATTTGTGAGCACTATCTTCTACTTTGCTTCTGATCCATCCTCCCTAGGGTTCAGAGAAAGACAACTGAATATATATTCATACAGAAAAAATGATAAAAATATAAACACATACAAACACGACACAGTCACACTATTTGGCTGTTAGAGGAGTTCAGTAGTCCTAGAATTTAAGTCATTCATTTGTACCATTTTAATCTAGTGTTCATTCCTAATTAGTTCATGTTTAAATATAATTCCAGACAGAAAACAAGATGGATTTCACAAAATATAAGGTAAGATACACGTCTGAGAAAAACACAGTCTCGACACAATTCACACTATTAGGGATTCAAACACTTTCGGTGACTCTGGTGCTGCCTGAAAGCAAAAATAATAATACTAGCATAAATTTTCAGAGCGCCCATTAGGTACTAGACATATAAGATGAATAAAAGCAGAGACATGCATTTTACAGTTTGGGAATGAAAACAATTTGTAAAGTTGAAATAAAAATTCGTTAAGTCCATTTTCACTTACCATTACCTTAATCCTAGATAAGCAATTAACTTCAATAATTCTTCTCTCTTTTTATAGTGGAGGCAGTGGTGGTCAAAATACAATAAATAATGCATTTATTTGCAAAGTGCCTGGAATTGAAAAAATGCATTAAGGACAAAGTACAATATTATTATAACATTCTCCCATATGGTAATATGGAAGCACATATTATATGTGCCCAAGCAGGCAGAATCATTTTTCTTCAATGTACAAATTAGGTCAGTGTCATGATTCTACTGTCTTAGATTTCCCAACTACTAAAACAAAGCAGGACAAAATGAAGGAAAAAAACCAACAACCCACAAACAGTAACAATCTGAGGATTTATATCAGAATTTCAAGCTGTTGATCACTGGTAGGCAGATGACAATATGATTATTACTGGAAAAATAACTCAAAGACAATACCTTTTTGTGGCAGGTTATCAGCAGCATTCTTTACATTAAAATTGTATTTCATCTATAAGATAAAACTAACATTTTTTGATATATAATACTGTTTATTTCTATAGATACTAAAATTATAATGAATTAAGCGGAAGTTGCTTTGTATAAATCTGTACAATCAACAGTATGTATGAGTCTCGATGTGCATGAATGTGCTTATCCATTGAAACAAATATTAATACTAATGGTACTTTACGTCTGAGAAAAATCTGTTTGTTAAAATTAATCTTGAGAAACATACCATAGTCCACACTCCACATTATATACTCAAAGCTGTAATTTCTATCTCATTTTAGAAATAGAAATTTCAAGAGAACAGAATCATAAAACTAGAGGGCCTAAAAACTGTAACACATGCTCTTTATTAAACATATTACTTTCCTTTAATACATAATGCAGCCTCTAACAATAATCTGTAAGTGTAAAAACTTTGTGCATATTTTTAATTTTTTTCTTTGCACATCCCAAACTATTTAACATAAAAAGTATACCCTGTCATATAAACGTCCTTTCCCCCTTTTTCAACAGTAATTATCTTGAATATATTTCGTATTAGTTTGATTAAAAATATTAACATATTTCTTTAAAAAGTTAAAAAGCCTCGCCATAGGTTGAAAACATCTTTTTAAAACCTGAAATAGGTTTGAATAAAAAGAACTTAAGATTATTTCACATTTTAAAATAGTAAAACGAGTCCAAACACATTAGAATTTTCTAAATTTATCCTATTGAAATTTCAGGAATAGGAGTATAAGGGCTCTAAGTTGGAAAACCTTTTTCTGAAAAACTCGACCAAGATTATGAATTTCATTTCTAGCAAAGTTTGTTCTTCTAATCATTCTGAATTCCATATGCAATGTAAACAATTAAAAAAATCTCAATAACTAATTCTTGTTTTTAGATACACAATCCTCGGAGTCGCACACAACGTCCGTAGAAACAGACTCCTCCCCGCTCCTGGGGAAAACCCTGCCTAATATTTATAACGTTATGACATACTGTAATACTCACAAGGTGGTTGTAGAAGTATAAACACGACTGGAGTTATCTGATTGGCTGGTGGTGATGTAACACCCATGTCAATACTTCCCAGTGAACGCACGTGTTCGACCTTTTATTTAAATTTCCATTTCATCACAGCAATAAGACACTCGGGGCGGTGCATTTTCTGTGAAATGATTATTGCCTTGGGCCCGAGGTGCTGCCTCGCACACACAATGCTGCAGACGAGGAGGTGTCGGTGGTTGTAACCTCCTCGCGTGAAAGGCACCGCCTGGTCCAGTCTTTGTGAAGGAACAAAATAAGTTCACTTCCTTGGGCACCGCCACCCACCCCTAGCAAATGACAAGGCTGGAGCGCAGCAGCTCCCACCGCACAGTTATTTCCAAAGTCCCAGGTGAACTCGTGGCGAGAGAAGGAAAATGTGCGTCCCGGGCGCGGGTAGGTGCTTGTGGGCAGCGGGGAGGCGGCCAGAACCTGACACTCGCCAGCTGTTTGTCCTCCGCGTAGCCCAGCCCCGGCCGCACACGCCCGCCCCCTCCCCGAGACCCCCAGCCAGACGCTCGGCCTTTTGTCCCCCGCCCCTCGGCCGACTTCCTTCCCCCCTGGCCGCACCCCCGCCCCCAGGCCGGAGGCGCGGCCCAACCCCTTTCCTGGTCCCCTGGCGCCCCCACCCCACCCCAGCCCAGCCCCAAGCCCAGCCCCCCTCCCCCAGCCCGGCCCCCACCCTTTCCCCCTCCAGCGGTTACTGCTACCCCGGTGCATTGTGGGCGCACGGTCCGTTGTTCATTTGCCATTCGACCTCCGCCAGGGCCTGGTCGGACGGAAACGCTCCGCCGGCTTTATTGTCGGTTCGTTATGTGGCGGAGCCCAGCAGTTTAACGTGCCTGTCGCCCTCAGTGCCTGGGAAGCGGGCGACGGCGTCGGGACTCCTCGGCGCACCGGAGGAAGGATATCTGTTTGGAGGGTCGGTGTGTGCGCGCGGCTTTAAAGAGGGGCAGCGGAGGGTCGCCCCGCACTTCGCCTCTCAACTTCGAAGGCCCCACGCGCCCCCGGCTCGCTGCTCACCTCTCCGCCGCCCGCCCCCTTCTCCGCGCGGGACGCTGCCCGGAGCACAGCGGGGCGGGGGTGGAGGACGAGGAGGCGGCCGGAGGCGGCGGCCCGGCGGGCGGCGGTGGACGCGTGAGGCAGCCCCGGGAGCGAGCACGAGCCGGGCGGCCGGGCGGGAGGGCGAGGCCGAGCCCCGCGAGACCGGAACGCCGGGGGTGGGGGCGGGGGCGAAGCCGAGGGGGAGCGGCGGGGAGCGCGCGGGACGCGGCCCGAGGCCGGGCGCGAGCCGGGGCACCGGGCGGCGGCGGCGGCGCGCGCCATGTCGTTCAGTGAAATGAACCGCAGGACGCTGGCGTTCCGAGGAGGCGGGTTGGTCACCGCCAGTGGCGGCGGCGGCGGCAGCAGCTCCACGAACAATAACGCTGGCGGGGAGGCCTCGGCTTGGCCTCAGCAGCCCCAGCCAAGACAGCCCCAGCCGCTAGCGCCTCAGCAGCTCAATGGGCGGGGGGCCGACGAGGAAGTGGAATTGGAGGGCCTGGAGCCCCAAGACCTGGAGGCCTCCGCTGGGGCGGCCGCCGCCGCCGAGGAAACCAAGGAGTTGCTGCTCCCCCAAGACGCGGGCGGCCCCACCTCGCTGGGCGGCGGTGGCGCGGGGGGCCCCCTGCTAGCGGAAAGGAACCGTCGGACTCTGGCCTTCCGAGGAGGCGGCGGCGGCGGGGGTCTCGGCAACAATGGCAGTAGCCGCGGCCGCCCCGAGACCTCGGCGTGGCCCCTGAGGCATTTCAATGGGCGAGGGCCAGCGGCTGTGGATCTGGAGCTGGACGCGCTGGAGGGGAAGGAGTTGATGCAGGACGGCGCGTCCCTGAGCGACAGCACCGAGGACGAGGAGGAGGGGGCGAGCCTGGGCGACGGCAGCGGGGCGGAAGGCGGCAGCTGCAGCAGCAGCAGGCGGTCGGGCGGCGATGGCGGGGACGAAGTGGAGGGCAGCGGTGTGGGAGCTGGCGAAGGAGAGACTGTCCAGCACTTCCCGCTCGCGCGGCCCAAGTCCCTAATGCAGAAGCTACAGTGCTCCTTCCAGACCTCTTGGCTCAAAGATTTTCCCTGGCTGCGGTATTCCAAGGATACTGGCCTTATGTCTTGCGGCTGGTGCCAAAAGACCCCTGAGGACGGGGGAAGCGGGGACCTTCCTCAAGTGGGGCATGATGAGCTTTCGCGAGGGACCCGAAACTACAAGAAAACCCTTCTTCTGAGACACCACGTCTCTAACGAGCACAAACTCCACGAAGCCAACGCCCAGGTACAGTATATCCTGCTCCTACTTTTTCAGATCTTTCAGGGAGAGGTTTATCAGCCAAAAAGCGACACACTCTTGGGTGAAGGCATCGTTCCAGTTGTGGAATTGCAGGGAGCTGTTGCGTGGGGGTTTAGAAAGCCTGGGAACAAGTTTTCAAAAGTAATCTGTGTTGGGGGGGTGGGGAATGGAATGACAATTTTCCAATCGTAGCGCTGAATTTATTTATTATGAGTCCGTCCTTTGCCCATCAGAATTTTTAAGAAGTTTAAGAAGGCGAGGTTGAAGGTTTTAACTCTAAAAAGTTGACTTTGCGGTCAAAAATTTTATTAGCTGTAATTTTAGAAAAGCTGTCTTGTGTTTCGTAGACTTTCAGCATGCTGATGGAAGTCAAATCTGGCATTTAAAGAATGAGTTAAACAATTTCCTTAACCTTTGATGCAAACCCTTTCAGGAAAACATTCAGCTGAGAAAATTCTATATATCAGGTCTGGATAATGTGAAATGTGAGCGCAGTATGTAAATGTAGAGGAAGGTATTTGGATAACACTCCTTGTGAATAATATTACTAAATTCATCTCCCTTGAACTTTCTGTTGAACTTTCTCTTACCAAAGGCATGGCTTTGGTAAACTATTGGAGTTTTTACTTGTTTCCTTCTACCCAGATTTTTGCGCTGAGATTTTCTGTAATCGCCCTTTGAAGAAAAGTTTCTTGTAAATGCAGTTTACTTTAAACTTTGCATATTAAGGATGTTTCGTGCGATTTTACTTATATCAGGTAGTAGGCTGGTAGAGAATGTATTTCCTAAACTCCTTGAAAACATAAGTCCTTAGTTAGAAAACAGATAAGCTATACTTCAGTCGTTATTTCTTGATTTAGTGTTTCCAGTTTAAAGATAGTAGGCTTACCATTTTGGTAAATCCTTTTTTAAGCTGAAAGAGATGTTGAGCCAGGTCTTGTTTTAAGTCTTTTCAGACAACCTGTATGGTAGATGGAATTCATTCTTTTGTATTGGTAACAAGTCACTGATTTTAGAATGTCAACTTTCAGATGTGATAACCCTCTGCGTGTTTATTGGAGTGATCTTGCTGTTCAAAACACTTATGCTGGAGTTAATTAGGTGCTATCCAATAACCCCATTGCACAGTAGTTTCTCAGAAGTTAACTTTAAAGCATAAGGTTATTTTTCCCATGGGAGAATGGTAATAGTTTTTGCACAAATTTGAGTTGCCTAAGCTCTAGAAGGAAGGTCACTTAAAGATGTACAATCCCAAAAGGTTAAGTAAATTGTCCTAAGTCTTAGAGTCCCTGATGACAACTGAGACTAGAGCCTATAGGGAATGTTGTAATGGGAAAAGAATGGCTTTTGGAGTAAATCTGGGTTCAGATCTCAAGCTTTCTGCAATTACTAGCTTTGTGAGCTTGGGTAATGGAGTGAAATATAACTAACATTTCCTTTTGTTCTGTATGCCGGGCACAACATTACCTTACTCTGCAAAGTAATTATTTTATAGGTGTAGAGTTGGGGACTTTGTAAGATGATGGAGGTGGGGGACTTGTGAAAATGAAAGTGTACTTTCCTAAATAATTAGGTTGGTTATTCAGAAAATTCTAAAAAGAAGAAATATTCTTAATATACAGTGGACCAGTTACTCTTATCAGCATAGTCTGTCCCTGTAGGCAAATCTGAGTGGGAATGCAAAATATAATTAGCTGCTTAGTGAACCTGAAATCAGAGGAAGGGGAATTAGTTGGATAACCTTATGATAGAGTGGTGTATCCTCCCCTAGGCATTATCTGGATCAGGGAATTCAGTCCCTAGGTAAAACGTTTTCTAAACTTGATCTCTGAATTATTCCTCCTTTTCTCTTTGCCCCCCACCTCAGAAGTCCCCTTTTTAAGATAGCATGTGCATGTCATCTTTCTCTTAGGACATTTTCTCATTAGGCTGAAGACAATACAATTTAGTAAGTCGTGTGTCTAAGGTTATATATTGGTTTCCTTGATTAGATTCTGGATGTTTCTACTCTGAATTGATCGTAACTTCTCTGTTTTCATTGCAACGTCGGTTTGGGGTGTTAACCTTGCTGTTGACCCCAGGTACTACCAGCATATCTTTGTCTTGTTGATTAGAGTGACCTTTTTAAGAATTGACTTAATCATGTGGGCAGAATTCAATTAGGTTTTTTTTTTTTTCTTCCCCTTTGCCCTGTAGCCTTTGACTACCTGTAGGAGGCAGTATAACACAGTCTGTAAGAGCATTCTGGGGTTGGTTTAAGGTTAGGGGGACTGAATCCTAATCCTTTACTTTCTGGGCAGGCAAATGAGTTGAACTTCTAGTTCCCCTGTGTATGCAAAGTATATGTGCCAGCATGTAATCACTTAAATGCTAGCCATTATTATTTACCACCAATAACTACAAGTTTTTGGTAGCCTGGTACCTCGTGTGTCTCAGTGTTAAACCAATTTTGACAGTTTGGAAACCACTTCATCTTATGGGATCAATCCTGATTTTAGAGAATCCTAAATTTTCCTTTTCATACCTTCAGAGACTTTGGCCATCCTCTTCTTTAAACATTCTGAGATTTTCTCATACATGCAAATTTTTTCACTACTTCATAAGAATATCTTGCATTAGCTTTGTTCTATCTTAAAAATGAAATGAGAGTTCTGTAGTTCTTCAGGCAAGAATTCAGTTTGAGGCGAAGGGTCGTACACACCCTTTATTCCCCTCAACTCCTCTCGGCTTTTTTAAAAGAGGGATGCTTTTTGAGAGGAGGTTGGCCAAATCTTAGAATATCACAAGTGTTACTTTTCTTTCTTACGCGTTCTGAAAGTAAGAAAAGTTCTTTTTCATTAAGTCCGGGTGGCCAAAGAATTAAAACACATTTCTAAAAAGTTTGCTGTTCTGTAATACTGCTCATGGGAAAGTCAAAATAGTCTCTCAGAATCTGTTCTGAGCCTTCTATTTCAGAGAGATCCTTTATATTCTTCATAAGGATGTAAGGGGTAACATACAGTTTTTATTTTAAGTAGTAACTGTCTTCATCAAGGAAAGTTAAGTGATTAGGTTATACAGGATTTTACCATTTAGCCTAGAGGACTTCAAAATTGCTTTAACAGTGGTTACCACTGTATCTCGGTTCAGATCACTTTCTACCTAATTGTGAAATTTTCATAACCTAAATTACATTCTGTCAACTCTTTCCAGTTTACTAAGTCTAAAACACACAGTCAGATGTATTGCTATAATTTCATTAATCTTTCTAAAAAGTAAATACTGAATTTAGGTCAGTGATCTGATAGACATTACCAATGAGAGTATGTTGAGGTCCTCAACTAAAGCAAAACTGACTTGGTCTGTCTGTAACAGCCTTCTTTGCATTTGACAAAGATAAGGCTTAAAGGCTTTTTTGTTTTTTAACAGTGTAGGAAGAAAGGCTGAAGAACCTTTCATTAAGAAATATTAAAGATGAGGGGCACCTGGGTGGCTCAGTAGGTTAAATGTCAGGCTCTTGATTTCAGGGTTATAAGTTCAAAGCCCCCATTGGACTCCATGCTAGGTGTGAAGTCTACTTTAAACAACCAACCTCTGACCCATTAAATAAGCATTTTGTATAATATATAGGGTCTAACTTTCATTACGTTTGATTTGTTAAGCTGGTTCATTTCCCTTTTTTTTTTTTTTTTTTTTAACTTTTTAGTAGTCTTTGACAGTACCCTACAGTGTATGTAGGATTGGTTTCTTTCTCCCTCTTCAATTGCTTACGTGAGGTAGATCCAAAGCACTGGAGCTAAAACCTATAAATCAGACATTTTCTCTGCCCTCAAGGAACTTGTAGTCTAGTGAGAAGAGGCAGACATAATAAAATGAATAGGTATCTTTCTAGAAGTATGTTCAGGTTATAGTGAAAAAGCAAAAGGAAGTCATCAATTCTGCTTGTGAAAAGTTGGGAGAAGCTTGTATAATTGGCTCTTGAACTTCATTATGTTAAATGAATAGGTGTTGAACAGGGAGGGGTGAGTGTTCCAAGCACTACGATTGGAAGCAGCATTAACAAAATAAAATTGAGAAGTGGATAATTGGTTACCGAGCAGGATGAAAAATCAAGTTTGAATAGGTAGTAGACTATGGAGGGTCTTTTGTCATGCTAAAATGTTTGTATTTTATTCTGTTAACAAATGGGCAAACTATTTAGCAGTGTTAAATGGGAGGATCATGAAGAAATAATGTTGCTGTCAGAGACACTTATTAGTGTGTGTGTTTTGAGAAGAGTGCTGGTAATAAAGCATATCTTCGGAATCTAAAATTGGCTGAAGGGTAAAATCACCTGAAGATTTCCATTCCACCACTGATGTATAGAATTAGAATTTCCATTTTATTCAAAAATTCGGATTCAGAAGTGGAATGTTTTTATTCTTTAAAGTGTTCCAGTGGGCAGCTGCAACAAAAGTAGTAAAGATTTCTTTTTTAAGATTGTATTTTTTTATTTGAGAAGAGAGATAGCATGAGTGGGGAGGAGAGGGAGAACAGGGAACCCAGTGCCAGGGTCTAACCATGACCCCGTGACCATGACCTAAGCGGAAAGCCAACGCTTAACTGATTGAACCACCCAGGCGCCCCAAGATTTCTGTTTTTAATGCTTTCTTTACACTTCCATGTTTCATATTGGAAATGCCTTTTTTTCTGCTAATCCATTTATTGAAAGGATTATAATTTTGAGTAGATAAGGTAAATAGTAGTTGTTGATTTTTTAGCTAAATAGTATTTTCTTATCCTTTTTGGATTGACTACACATGAACTCAACTGTTAGCAACTGAAATTTCTCTCTCCAACTCTCCTTTCATAAGGGTGGGGGAGATTAGGTGATGGTCTAGGGTTCTCTGCCGGCTGGGGCATTATCTAGCTGCCCAAGCTAGAGTGCTGAAGACTGAGCCTACAATACCCCCACAATATCTAGTATGTTCTGTTGATTTTTATCTTCCAGATATTTTTCCAGATTCTAACCCATTACCCCTCCCTCCATTAACATTTTATGTCTTAGGTTAGTTAAGGTCCTGGTTTCTTGCAAATCTGTTGCACTATTAACAGTACCTTCACCTGGGTCACAGTATCTCTAGTTTTAGTTCCCTGATACTAGTTCCCTACTTAGCTGTCAAAACCATCTCTTATATTTTATAATCCAATCAGATGTAAGGCACCTGTCACAGTCATTTTTAATCTGGGGGGGAATATGATTCTCTTGATAACGGATGGAAGCTATAGCCTCCAAAAATACTCAGAAGGGCATTAATTGCATTTCTTGGGCTTTGTGGAGGATCACCTTGAAGTTCTTTCATAAATCCGGAATTGTGAGGGTGCTGTAAGACCGTCTTGTTACTTTTTAATGCTGTTATATATTTGCTTGGAATGCTCATCCTCCTCTCCCATTTTTTCATTCCGAGGCTCTGCCCAGGTACATCTTCGAACCTCCCCACCGTGCCCACCACCACCACAAATAACTGGGCTAGGTAGACTTTCTCTCTGCTCTCTTAACACCTTTGTTAGACTTTTTAGTACCTTAAGAGTCTTGCCCTCTAGTGGTCTGAACTCATTTTGGGTCTACAGTTGTAGAACTTGCCTAAAGTAGGCATTCACTTTGTTTATTAAATAATTGAGTCAAGTCATGATTTTTCAAGCTTTCAGCAACATTTTCCTTTGTAAGTAAAATATTTACTATTACTATTTTTTTTTAGTTTCTCTGGAAGTTTAAAGATGCATATTATGTATACATTTTCTTTTTTATATTAATTTTAGAAGAGTTGATTCTAAGGTCTCTTCCAGATCTGAAATTATAATTTTACTTATGGGTATCTTCACAAATAAAAAACTTGAAGACTTTTCAGATTTATAGAATCTTTGATGTAACAGTTTGTCTGATTTCTGAAGTCTGAATATCCCCCTTTTTTTTTTTTTTAATTTTTAAAGATTTTACTTACTTGTCAGAGAGAGCATGCGTGTGCACATACAAGCAGGGGGAGAAGCAGGCTCCCAACTGAACAGGGAGCCCAGTGCAGGACCCAATCCCAGGATCATGACCTGAGCCTAAGGCAGATGATTAACCCATTGAACCACGGAGGCGTCGCTGAATGTCCATTTTCTTAAAATCTTGTTTAGCCAGTTCAGATGAATGTTTTCCATTTTGGGAAAAGGAACAGAAAAGTTTCCCAGCATCTGAAAAGACCAGTTCTAGAAATACTGAAAGCTTTTCATCAGTGTATTTTTTATATCTTCAGTGAATTCATCAGTATACTCAGTGGGCATTTAGAATGTTAAAGAAGAAACCAGAGGCAGAGATGGCGTGAGTTCCTTTGGAAACTACTTTAAGATTTTTATGTTTATTACTAAGATTTTCTTAATATATTTAGTTCAGCAAATAATACTAGCTGTTTGTTTTAGTGTTATGCCCTTATTTAAGCTCTGATTTACCCATGTGCCCAAATAATACTCCCCTTTGAGAGTACACATACTCTTGACTTGGAAAGCCTTCATTTTAAAGAGTATATTTAATAGGTGCTATAGAAACGAGGCACAGTCCTCTAATCAGTAGCGAAAAAGAAATTGGTGGTGGTGCTTATAAAAGCGAGGAACATTATTCTTTTAAAACATTAACAAGAAATAGTGGTTGAATAGTTGTGTTTGATTTGTATATTTTGTGTTAAAATAGAATGGGCAAATATTTTGGTGGATAGGATATTGTCTGAGTTATTTTTAAAAATTAGGACATTTGGTCTGATAATGGCTGAGAACTTCAGACTTGCCCAAAAAATGCAGAACACAGTGACCATCGCCTAAAATGACTGTATAGTTAGACACCGCCTCCTCCTTAAAGGTTTGAACTGCCAGATTTATAAACTTTAGGTGGCTTCTTGATTTGCAAATGCTAACTCACTGCTATCACAAATTCTTCGTGATGTGCTGCCAAATTTTGATCAGTGTTTAAAATTTTGCTTCTTCCAAGTGTTATATACTGTTATTGCAACATCAGAACTTTGAACCAAATGAGCTTTGCTGGACATGCATGGCATGCATATAGCAATGCTTAGTTTCAGGCCTGCATTAACGGAAGGTTTTCAACTTTGGACGTTTCTTTATTGAGTGGAAAGCATAAGCAAATTAGTAAAAAGTCTTACTTAAAGGGACATCAAGTAAATAGTACTCTTTTACAGAAGATACTGTAGCATTAATTGTAGTTTTTAGTATTGATTTAGATCTTTATATATTCATACATTTTCATTCCCTTTTGGTAAATAGTTTAAAATTTCACATTCACAACATACTGGTTTATGTACAAGCTCCAAGGTTAAAACAGTGTCTTTTTTTTAATCTCACTTCCTTCACTTCACACCTTCAAAAGCAAAAATTTGGGACTTGTGAGTTAATTTGTTTTGCTTACTTCCCTTAAACCTGCCAGTTGTTCATGAAGATTGGGTGTTTGGTAGGAGGTAAAAAGAGCTAATTTAGACCTTGAGACTTCATAGATAAGCATGGGGGGGAGTAGGATGTTACATACTAGGGCATTATGTCTGCGAGGCACTGGGAACTAGTAGACTGCTAAGGGTCATTTGGAAATGAAAAGAAAAATCTCTACCTCCCATGCATCCTTCTATAGTGATCATATACCCCAGACTTCCAGCGTTATCTGTACTATTCCATTACCCCTGTGGGATACTGAAGTGGCCTGGAATTCTTAATATTTGGTTTTTCAGTTGACTTCTCATACTTGAAAGCAACACAAAAATTCTTAAATGGATCATTGACCTAGTTTAGTTTCAAGGAAATTGATCTTATTTTATGTATGGCCTCCTGTGTTCAGTACTCAGACTTAACCTACTGTTTTTGTAATTTAGCCATACCCGTGTGGGGTTAAATGGAGTTGTGAGATTGTTTGGGAATCTCACCACCAATTAAAATATTATCCCCATGAAATTCTTTTGCAGTCTTAACTGTGTTCCCAACACCTTTCATTTTTTTTTTTTAATTCTTCCTCTCTCCTCTCCTCCAAGCCTATCTGTTTTCTCAGCATGTTTTACAATCTAGTATGTATCTTCCCATGTTTTTTTTCCCATAGTCATGGATGTTTGTCATTTACAGAAATGGCCTGTATTTAAATTATTATTTTATGCAAAGAAAATACAAATTTTTAATACTTTAGGGCCAGGAGTTTCAACCATCTTTTCTACCAGAAATATCTAAGAACATTTTTGAGTGCAAAAAATGATTACTTCATTTCTCTAACAGCCATTATTGTTTTTTGTTCTTTTTTTTAAAGATATTTATTTATTTATTTGACAGAGAGAGCGAGACCGAGACCGTGAGAGAGGGAACACAAGCACGAGTGGGTGGGAGAGGGAGAAGTAGGCTTCCCGCCAAGCAGGAAGCCGGATGAGGGGCTTGATCCCAGGACTCTGGGATCATGACCTGAGCAGAAGGCAGACGCCTAACAGCTGAGCCACCCCAGTGCCCCTCTAACAACCATTATTAAAGTGTGCTGTTATTTTATGGGAATTACCATAACTTAAGAGATGCTAAACAGAACTATAGTGAATACTTGTCAGATTGATAAGAAAATTTATAAACTTTTAAGAGTTTTGAGTTCCAGGGTGCCTAGCTGGCTCACGTGGTAGAGCATGTGGCTGTTCATCTGGGACTTGTAAGCTCAAGCCCCACATTGGGTGTAGCAATACTTAAAAAAAATAAAATCTTTTAAAAAAAAAAATACATAAGAGAATTTTGAGTTCAGGAATTTTACTTTACATTTACTATTTATGCCCCTAAAAAGACAAGGCATTTTGAAAGTTAATTGGGAAATTATATGGCTGGGTATTCCTATAGTTGAAACACATTTTCTTACCTGGGTCTTAACTTTATCTTTAGATTTAATTTCATTGACCTATTTGATTGGATGTTTGCCAAGACTAAAAATTTACCTTTTTAGTACTGTTAAATGGGATGAAGTACCCAATATTATAACTTAGATATTTTATAATTCAGTAGAGGGACTGTTGCATTCTTATCAGTTAGAGATAAGGCAAGCTAATTTGATTCCTATATATGAAAGTTTCTTTTCATAGGAAAGTAATTGCTATTTTAATTTTAAATCTGGATCCATGTCCTTGGCTTATACATGATACATGCTTTTTTTTTTTTTTTTTTAAGATTTGTTTGTTTGCTTGTTTATTTATTTGAGAGAGAGAGAGAGAGGAGAATTAAAGAGCACGAGAGGGGAGAGGTCAGAGCAAGAAGCAGAAGCAGATTCCCCACCGAGCAGGGAGCCCAATGTGGGACTCAATTCCAGGACTCCCAGGATCATGACCTGAGATGAATGAAGGCAGTTGCTGAGGCACCCTGATACATGTTATTCTTTAAATCAAATCCTGCTGATCCTTAATTCAGATGTGTTTGATTTTTCTTAAAATAGAAGTGGCTGGCACTAAATTTTTCGCACTTTTCTCCTCTCAGTATTTGGAATTGTGAACACTGCAGTGTCAATAAATCATGATTGCTAACAAAGTAGTGCATTTGATTAACGCTTTTTAAAAAGTTAAATTGATACTTTACTTCATTTGAGGATTTGTAAAAAGTAAATAAAATTTAATACTAATGTTTTCCATCCAATTACAGGAGACAGAAATACCATCAGAGGAGGGGTACTGTGACTTTAATAGTAGGCCAAATGAAAACTCTTATTGCTATCAACTTCTTCGACAACTAAATGAACAAAGAAAGAAAGGTATTCTTTGCGATGTCAGCATTGTGGTGAGCGGAAAAATCTTTAAAGCTCATAAGAACATCCTGGTTGCAGGCAGCCGTTTCTTTAAGACTTTATATTGCTTTTCAAACAAAGAAAGCCCTAACCAAAACAATACTACCCATTTAGATATTGCTGCAGTTCAAGGTTTTTCAGTCATCTTGGACTTCTTGTATTCTGGTAACCTGGTGCTCACAAGCCAAAATGCCATTGAAGTGATGACAGTGGCCAGCTATCTTCAAATGAGTGAAGTTGTTCAAACTTGCCGAAATTTCATTAAAGATGCCTTAAATATAAGCATTAAATCAGAAGCTCCAGAGTCTGTAGTTGTGGACTATAATAATAGAAAACCTGTTAATAGAGATGGTCTGTCTTCATCACGGGATCAAAAAATTGCCAGTTTTTGGGCAACTCGGAATCTTACCAATTTGGCAAGTAATGTAAAAATTGAAAATGATGGTTGTAACGTCGACGAGGGCCAAATAGAAAACTACCAAGTGAATGACAGTAGTTGGGTCCAGGATGGTTCACCTGAATTGGCTGAAAATGAATCTCAAGGTCAAACAAAAGTGTTTATTTGGAATAATATGGGCTCCCAGGGAATTCAAGAGACTGGCAAAACAAGGAGGAAAAACCAAACTACAAAGAGATTTATTTATAATATACCACCTAATGAAACAAATTTAGAAGATTGCTCAGTGATGCAGCCACCTGTTGCCTATCCAGAAGAAGATTTATCCTTCATCAAGGAAGAACCAGGTAAATATTTTATATACAAAGGTATCTCCGTTTTCATGCTAATTAACTATGATTAGTTGGATATAATTGGTTGGATATAATAATCGAGGTATATTTGTAAAGTATTTCTTAAACTATAGAAGTAATACACAGATACTGAATTTGAGTGTTTATAATAGAAGGGAGAAGATAACTCAAACAATAATGTAATTTTGGTATGTTTTTTCTCTCCACATGTGTATGTGAGTTTTTCAAAGTTGGTGCTAATAATCAGGTTATTTGCTTATATTACTTATGGCGTGTGGACTCTTCTTCATTTGTAGTTCTTTGACTTCTCTGATCTTTGGTCTCTGATCACTTTTTTTGTACCCAGTGCTGCAAAAGATATAATGTAATCTTAGTTAAAATCTTAGTTGTAATATATAATCAGTTTGTCATTTCAGAATATTTTTTAAGACCTAATGAACATTTTTCCCAGTTTGGGGTGTTTTTTTTTGGGTAATTAAACATTTAAGTGTTTTTTAGAATTTTGCAAATGACAGTGGGATTATTCCAATTTGTTTAGACCTACTGTTCTTACCATAAATCTTACAGAAGCTGAAATGTTTCAAATTTGTCCCACTGTCCCCTCATTTTCATTCTCATTAATGAAGACAGGACTCTGAGATATTTCTCCTCACTATGTAACTAAAAGAATATATACAAAATCTGCATGTCACAGTTGTACTGTGGACTTTTTTTTAATGGGTTTTAATGGGGTGGGAGACCATTGTTACAGTGTATAAATAGAAACATTTGAAACTTAATTGCCTTTGCTTAACTTAATTATACTTGAAGAAGTAGCCCTGTGGATTTGAGGTTTTCCTATGCAGACCCCAGACTTACGGTATATGTCTACCACTGTCACATATGATTCAGTGTTTGTTTGGCTGCCTCAAAGCTCTTAACTATTCAGTGTCTGATTTACATCATGGTGATTATCTAGGGATGGAATACTTTGTTAAAAAGAATCACTGTTTTTAGTTCTACAGGACAGAATGCCATAGTAATCCTATGAAATGGTTTCTCTGGCCTTTTAGGTGTGGATTTCGTTCCCATTGGTTTTTGGATTTACTTGGGTGAAAATCAGCATATTTGCATAATGAATATGATTTAGTGATCTTTTCCCTCATACTTGTTGACTGTTACATAATTAAATCCTCAGAGGCAGTTTCTTTTAAGTATTAAGGTAGATTTTCATAGCATCGCTTTATTTTGGCTTTTTAATACAGAAGACCTTGAAATTCTCAAAGATGAGCTACATTGTTTTTCTGCTGCAGAGATTAATCACTTTATAGTATGGTGGGAACCTTGTGTTTTTTTAAAATACACACATGCACGTGGGCACACACACGATTTAAGGGATAAGCAGGTTTTGGGGGTAGTATTGGCAAAATCGATCAGAGCTAACCCTTTCTTAATGCCACATACAATTGAAATAATTCAAAGGAAAGCACTACTATTGAGTCACAGTGCATAATTTACAAACTGCTTTTAAAAAAAAGTTATTAAAGCACAAGCAGGGGGAGCAGCAGGCAGAGCTAGAAGGAGAAGTGGGCTCCCCGCTGAACAGGGCCCGACATGGGGCTTGATCCCAGGACCCTACTGAGCCACCCAGCCACCCAATGCATACTTTTAAAAAACAGCATTACTAGCTATTGTTTTGGCAAGCACTCCCTCAGCTGAGTTTGTATCAATGGAATAGATGTATCATAAATTTTTGGCAGTATACTATGCTTTCAACATCTCTTACATCTTACAACTTATAAAAATTCTATCACGTTAGGGGTATCACTTTGGTGTCTGAACCTTGCCTAACTGACATTTTATCAGTGATAACGCTATATTCCAGCTGTTAAACTTATTGCAGCTTCTCAGTGCCTCTAAATCCAACGTCATTGAGTACCAGGAAATGGGGTGTCTTACAAGGATATTATGATTAGGACATAATATGATACAGAGCCAGGGTTTGGCAAATTTTTACTGTAAAGAACCAAACAGTAAATATTTCTGGTTTTGCTGGTCATAAAGTTACTTAACTCTGTACCATTGCAGCCCGAAAAATGTCACAGACATTAAGCCTGAAAAATGTCACAGACATTAAGTACACACAGAAGATCATGAATATGCTTCAGTAAAGCTTTATTGCCAACCCTTGGTATAGAGCAGTGGGTCTTTATCTTTCTTGACGGCATATTGACATTACTTGGGAACTTTGAAGACCATGATGCTTGGGTCTTTGCAGTAGATATTGAGTTAACTGGTTCTGGGATGTTGCCTGGTTGTTGGAATATTTATAAGCTCTGTAGGTGGTTACACTGTGAATGAAGTTTGAGATCCACTGACAAAGAGGAATGAGCCAAAATTGAGTCATGATTTGAAGGATGAGCTCTGTACTTAACTGTGTGACTGTGACCAAATTAAATTAACTCCAGTATTCAGTTTCCTCATCTTTAAAGTGTGATACTTATTTTAAGGAATTAATTAAGAAAATTAAATGACAGAAGCACAACTGTCAAGGTCATTATAGATCCCCTTAAAGTGGGAGATTTGAGATTATTTAAAATGAGTTTTCCAGTGCAGTATGCTTTCTACTAGATTGTAGAAGTTATTTTATTTTGAGCCAAAATTTGTTCTTTTGAACTTCATGATTCTGCCATTTTGAGTAGTATAATCTGACCTAACCTATTGACCTGATAACCAACCCTTCAGATATTATAGATAACTTATTAAACTAAGTGAATTCCTTATGAATTCCAAGCCCCTTTACCATCTTTCTTACAATCCACCAGTTTTTTTTTTTTCACCCAGAAATTTTGGTGTACAAAATTAACAACTCTGGAGGCAAATTCTAACCGATACAGAACACAGTGGGTCTGTGTTGATCAAGGTTAAGGCCTGTCTCAAGGTCATTCAGCTAGTAAAAATAGAGGCAGGTTTCATGTTTAAGACCGGCTTACATTAAAACCTTGCAATTAATGAACTGGTAGACTGTCTTAAAAAAAAAAAAAAATTGGTCCCTTTTAAAACCACAGACATTTTTATGAACTGCACCATCATTGGTTATACTTTGATTTCCACTTACTGAGAAAATACTGATAATGTTTAGTGATACAAATGATTTTAATAAATTTAAAGTTCTGTAGGCAAATATCTGAAAAGACAGTAAATTATTTATATGGCCTATGAGCAATGCTTGGCATATTTGGACTTGTGGATCCCCTTAAGAACTGTGACTTCCCCAGACTCTTAAGCCTAGAGTCTGGGGTGCCTGGGTGGCTCAGTTGGTTAAGCGACTGCCTGACTGCCTTTGGCTCAGGTCATGATCCTGGAGTCCCTGGATGAGTCCGCATTGGGCTACCTGCTCTGCGGGGAGACTACTTCTCCCTCTGACCCTCCCCTCCTTCTCATTCTCTCTTTCTCTCTCAGATAAATAAAATCTTAAAAAAAAAAAAAAAAAAAGTCTAGAGTCTGTAAACCACAGCTCTAAATAATATCTTCTTGCCACATACTACTGAAGCTCATTTTTAGATGCCTCATAGAGAAATGTTTTAAGATACCAAGATAAGATGGTATACCCAGAAATATCAGGGATTTTATTTAGATTTTTTTTTAATTTTAAACTAGTATATTCATTATTTGACTCACTACTGCAGTTTGCTTCAAATAATTTTTTTATATATGAGGGTATTTGAAAGTATAACTTAGGAAAGGTTAGAAACTTCTGTCCTTTTTCTGTTTTATTGGAGTTTATGGGAAAATTAAAACTGTCAGAAAAAAAATTCTAGGTAATAAAATAGGAAAAGAGGTGTTATTAATGGGTTTCTCTGGTAGTATAAAAATTTCAAATCCTTGTTTTACTGATACACAACCAGAAAACAAATGTCTGCCAAATAAAGTATTTAAAGATATGAGATTAGGAATTATAGGAGTAAACATAATACCTAAGTTGTTTTACAGAGTGTGTTCCCACATGCTGTTGCCTTTAATCAGAGCAAGTCACGTGTTACTTACTGTTGATCTTTTGATGCTCTGGGATTATTTTCTGAATCTAGATTTTTCAGTTATGTCAGCCACACAAGTTGCACCCATTGTAAATAACTGCTCTGCATGTGTACACATACATTTAATTTTTGCGTGCATACGTAATTCATTTTGAACAGACATTTTTTAAATGACAAGAAACATCAGGAAAACAAATAAAATACAGCAATAAAGAAGTTAAGTGTGCTAGTAGAGTGTTAATATAGTTGTCCTAATTAAGCTTTTAATTGGCTCTAAGATGCTAAGCAGCCTCTCAAAGGAGGAAACATGCCAGTTCTGGAAGATGATAAACTTCTCTGGTACTGAATTTTGGGTTTTTATATAGTTGATACCATGTAGCATAATAATATCCTCAAAAACGTTTTTAGTAAACGAAGCAGACATTATATAATTGATTTTTTTATCTTTAATAATACAAGCTGATAAAATTCTGTATAGATGATTTTTTTTCTTAATGTCATACACTATTCAGATGCAAGGTGATTTTACTTGCGCAAAGAATTTAGAGTTATTATTTTTTTTAAATAGACTTTTTAAGATTTTATTTATTTGACAGAGATCACAAGTAGGCAGAGAGGCAAGCAGGGAGAGGGGGAAGCAGGCTCCCTGCTGAGCAGAGAGCCTAACATGGGGCTTGATTCCAGACCCCGAGATCATGACATGAGCCGAAGGCAGAGGCTTTAACCCACTGAGCCACCCAGGCGCCCCTAAAAGTTCCTTGCTTTCATCTATACTTCAGGGGAAAACAGTATTAAAACATTAACAAATTTTTATTAATCCTTACAAGTAGAGTTGAAATCAGGTTTCATTTTACAGTTTCAATTTGTATATTTGCCTTTTGGTTAAAAAGCACATAATTTGAATATTTAGAAGACAACCTTGAACAGAAAGCCCGAGCTGAATATCTTTAAGATATTCTAATGAGTCATATTTGAAGC